GCGCCACCACCTCCTGGCTTAAAACTTTGCTTTTGGAGACCGGGTTTCCTTAGCTCCAAGCCTATGAGCCTCCTGCTTCAGCTTCCTGAGTGGTGGGATTACAGATGTACGTCACCATGTGTAGCTCTGCTTCCTGTCTCTGAATTGCACCGTGCTGCCTGCCTTGGTTACATGAAATCAGACATGTTTGTTCTTTCGTGCTTGGCTGATGTCATTTAGCAAGATGTGTTTAAGGTTTATCTGTGTTCTAGCACATGCCAGAAAAAAAAATTTTTAAGACTTATTTTATTATGTGTATGGCTGTTTGGTCTACCTGTATGTGCATACTATGTGCGTGTACCTGGTGCCCTAAGAGGCCAAAAGAAAGTTTCAGATCTCATGTAATGGAAATTAAGGATGGTTGTGAGCTGCCATGCGAGTGCTAGAAACCAAACTTGGGTCCTCTGGAAGGTAGAAAACATCTTAACTTCTCTCCAGTCCCCAGAGAACCTTTTTAAAGGCTGAATTAATATATATTCTATTGCATGTTTCTCACTTTCTTTTTTTAATTGCCACTTGGATATTGTGAGTGATACTGCTATGTACAGGAGTATATAAGTACCTGTTTGGTGCCCTTCATTCAAAGAGTCACTGGATCTTGAGGTCATTCTAGACTTAGATTTTGAGGGACCACCACACTTAGGTTTTATGTGTAGTTAAATGTTGTATGTATAACTGGGTTAATCTCAGCATGGGTGAATTTGACTTTGTGCTTTTCAAAAATTTTGTTTTAATTTATATATGTGTGTTGTGCATGTTTATAAGTTTATATGTGGAGGTGACCTCGGAGGTCAAAGGGTGTTGAATCCCCAGGAACTGGAGTTACAGGCAGTTGTGAGCTGCCCTGTGGGGCTGGGAGCCAAACTTGGGACTGGCAAGAACAGCAAGGACTTTTAATCGCTGACCCATCTCTCCACCCCCCTAACTTTTCACCTTTGAGAGCCTTATTCCTAGCTGGGTGTGGTGTAACTACGGTGTGGGGTAGGAGGATCATAGGTTCCAGACCAGATTGGGCTAAACAAGTTCTACCTGGACTGTAAGAGACCTTTTCAAACAGCACACAGCAATGGAAACTTGATTCCTACCATCGATACATATTATTAAATGTTTTATATTTCTTGTGTTCTGATTGTTTAGCTTCATTATCTTTGGTATTTCCTTTTTTTTTTTTTTTTTTGGTTTTTTCGAGCCAGGGTTTCTCTGTGTAACTTTGCGCCTTTCCTGGAGCTCACTTGGTAGCCCAGGCTGGCCTCGAACTCACAGAGATCCGCCTGGCTCTGCTTCCCGAGTGCTGGGATTAAAGGCTATCTTTAGTATTTCTAGGAGTTTTATATTTACAGTATGTAATTATATTTAATTAATATAATTAATATATTTAAACAATAAAAATCATTTAACTCTGGAATTTTTAAAAATTTGAAATTTAAATTATAAAAGAATAGATCCTTGGCCTGGCATGGTGTGAATGCCCTCAAAGCACTCGGGAGGCAGAAGTAGGTAGATCTCCGTGAGCTTGAGGCCAGCCTGGTCTACAGAGCAAGTTCAAGGACAGCTAGGACTACACAGTAAGACCTTGTCTCAAAGAAAATAAAATGGACTCCTGACTAAATTTTACAATTCATGATTGCTCGTTAAGGTATGCATTTGAGGGTCTCTGTTGAGTGTTCAGAACTGTTGGGGCCCAGAATTTACTAAAGTAAGTGAAGACTTAGTGGCCTACTGTTTGTATGGCTTGCTTATTTATTTATTTCCTTATTTATTGAGACACTTTCTCACTGTACCTGGAGCTTACCAACCTGACCAGGTTGTCTGCCTGGTCAGTGAGCTGCAGGGATTTCCTGTCTCTGCTTCTCCGGCACTGTGTACAGCACACATCCCTGCGTCTACCCTTTACATCTGCTTTCTGGAGATCAAATTCAGAATGCTTGTGCAAACATCACTGTAGAGGGGCTGTCACTTCAGCCATCCACGCGTGTGTGAGTGTGGGCACCCATGTGCTAGTGGAGTGCTGTCTCTTGTTTCTTGCTTCCAGGCAGTTCTTTCTTTACCTCTCAGGCACCGTGGGAATGTTGGCATTGCAGATAGATGTTCACTGCCTTATCTGGCTTTTGCGTGGAATCTGAACTCAGTTGTTAGGCTTGAGTGGCAAGTGCTTTGCCCACCCAGCGATCTCTTTCCTTGAACCCAAACTGTTAAATGTTTGTTTGGAATTTGAAGTCACTGAGAAAATCTACAGGTTTTTTTTTTTTTTTTTTTTTCCTTTTTTTGTGACAAGGTCTTGCTTTGTGGCTGTAGGCCCAATCCTCCTGCCCCAGCCTCTCCGATTCTGGAGTTAAAGGCATGAGTCACATACCCAGCTTCTAGGGCATTTTTAAAGGTTTCATGGTCATTACTGTAAATAAATATTTATTTATTTTGCTTTGTATGTAATACTACAAGAAACATAAGTATTACAAATTTAAGATTAGTTACATGCTTTAATTGGCATGCATTGGCAAGTGATCCCCCCCCCCTTTTGATGGCCATAAGAGTTGTGTAGCAAGCTGTGTGAAGTTGGGACACTATGTTACTGTTAGAAGTTGTCTGCAAGTAAGTCTCCCAGTGAGAGTGGGACTGTCTGCTGAGAACTCAGCGTTCTTTCAAAGGGAAGTCGGTGGGGGAGGCTGTAAGCTTCCTGGTGAATGGCTCAGCACTAACAGCATGGCTGGGACCTGACCGGTGGGAGAGGACGGCCAACGCCATGTTCTTCTGAGCTCCCAGCTCTAGTTCTTGGGTTTAGGTGGAAACAGAACATTTCTTGGGAGGTGAATGAGTTCTCCTGGCAGCAGAATATGGAAACAGCGATGTGAATGTATAGACAGACCCAGACAGTCCAGATAAGATATAGGCCAGGGCTGCAGCTACCTTTCACTTAATTCCTACCACGAGGGGTTAACTTCTCGTCTGTTTCCTGTGTCCCTGTCTGCCTTGTCCATGCCTTATGAAATTGAGGTCATGACCTCATTAGTTGTCTAAGAACCGCTCTGCATGCACATCTGGAAGCACAGCTGGACTGGTGGCATGACTGGTAGAGTTAGCAGGTGACAGACAGGTCCTGCCGTGGAGCCCAAGCTCCTCTCTGCCTGTCTTCTTTGACTTGTACTTTGATTAGCTGGTTGTAGAATTTGGGATTAGCAGTGATTTTCCTCCGGAACTTAGGGTATTTATTATTTCTTAGCTGCTCATTTTGTACTTGAAAAGTCAGTAATTCTGATTCCTGCTCCTTTATCATCAGAGTCTTTCCCTCTCTGGAAGCTCAAAAGAATTTTCCTTTGCTCACGTGGGCTTTTAAAACCCTGAAGCTTACCCCCAGAAATGCAGTTTCCTCCTACAGGGCCACACCTGCTCCAGCAAGGCCACACCTCTTACCCCTTCCCAAACAGTTCCACTCATAGGGACCAAACATTCAGACAGAAGAGCCTGTGGGGGCCATTCTCAATCCAACCACCACAGGGGGATCACTTGTCCATAGACCAGAAATTTAAAAAAAAATGCTTGGGTTCTCGGCTATCCCTTCAATTCCATGAGGTTTTTCTTGGTAGGGTTTCTCTGTGTGTCCCATGCTGGCCTTTGACTCACTATGGAGCTGAGTCTGGCCTGGGAGCTTACAGCAATCTTCCTGCCTCAGCATTCTGAGTGCTGGGATTACAGACCTGTGCTACCCTGCCTGGCTTTACTTTACTGTTTTTCTAACATTGCTGTTTTTGGATATACCTTCAGTTTTATTTCCCAACTCTTCTACTAAGCTCTTTATTTTTACTGGTTTTAATTTTTAATGTTCTTTTTTCCATTATTTTAAAAATCAAATATTGTAATTTTTATATTGTATTATAAATATATTAATTTTAATTTTAAAGCTTTTTTATCTTAATACTTTGTCTTCTCTGATTGCTTTTCTTCCTTTTTTGTTTTTGGCCTCTTTCATATTTTAGAAGCTTTGTTTAGCTGTCTTGCCCTTGGTAATTGGCTCCCATTGAAGAGCAGGGAAATGGCTGACTAGAAATTGAGCAAGGTGGGCAGCTGTCATTCCCAGTTTGTGCAGTGCTCATCTTGGTCATTTGCTGAGAGCCGGTGTCTTGGGGAATTGACTAGCTGTATCTGCTGAAGGCTGTCCCTGGCTTGCCACTATCAGGGATGTTGCCACTATTAAGGCCAGAGGGCTGGGGATCTGGTTTCTCTGCATAGGCTGCCAAGTTTGAAAATATGCCCTCCAGTCTCATTGCTGTCTTCCGGCCAGAGACCCTTTCTTAGCATCTCTGGAGGCTTTACTTGACCAGCTCCCTTTTGATGGACATGGGCATGTATGTTACTCTTCCAGTGTTGCAAGTAGTGCAGCTGTGAAGATGTTGAAGACACAACACAGTCTCTGTGTGTCTGCAGGACAGCTCGGAGACAGTTTCTCAAAGTAAATGTTACATACGGACTTTGGAGCAGCTTTGATACTGCAAAGTAGTTGCCTCTTCCTGTGCAGCCCTGGAAGGTGGTGTGCATTGCAGCAGGGTATACATTCCTGCCTGTGTCACCAGCACTAGGCATGCTCAGGTTTTTCTTTTGGTGTTGTTTTTAGCTAGTGGGAAAAATGTGTTTCGTTTATTTACTGATAAGACTGAAATATATGTTTCTTCTGAGAATGGCTATTTTTAACATTTGTCCATGTTGACAAATATATTTGGCTGTGACTTTTTATATTTAGTTTGGAGCTAGGTAAGGATGTATAAGAGGAAAAAAATCAAGTATTAGCACTCCAGGGTCTTTATGTCCTCATCTCTAATTTATTTTTTTTCTGGCCCTGAAAAACAGTTTATTGTGTCTCTCCTGAGCTGCAAATGAAATGATTCTTCCCCCTTTTGCATTAGCAGGGAACAGCTACAAGCTCATTATGCTGCTAGATCTTAAACCTACTTTTATTTTTTAATCTAGAAATGAACACAGAAGCAGAACAACAGCTTCTCCATCATGCCAGAAATGGCAACACTGAGGAAGTGAGGAAGCTACTGGAAGCCATGGAGCGGACTGAAGTGATTGCTGACATCGATTGTAAGGGTGAGCTCCCAATGCCTGCTGGTTTCCAGCTTTCTCTTTCAAGGTCCCACTACTCCATCATCTGTTTAATCTTTCTCATCTTGCCCATGGTAAATCTCACTCCCTTTTCCTTGGAAGAACTCCCCACAATACTGTGTGAAATGTCTTTACTTATACTGTCTAGGGTGGAGAATTGAGGTCCATTCTGGGAATTTTTATGGCTCTTAAACCTTACAAGGGTGAGCCCAAGTATGCATTCTCTGATAATGCTTTTATTTTTCTTAGAAACATTATAGCTGAGCCAACAAGTTTGGGTGATTACTGTTTGCCCAGTGTGTAAAGTGTTGTGGTCGTGTTGGGAGAGATGGACAAGTTCCCTGGCCTTGTTGAGATTACTCTAGATGAACAGACCAGGCTAGTGTCCACTACAAAACAGGTGCTGGTGTGTGGAAGCCCGGCTGTGTGGGTCCATAGCAGAGGGACAGGTGCTGGGTGTGGAAGCCCAGCTATGTGGTCCATAGCAGAAAATCAGGTGCCTGTGTGTGGAAGCCCGGCTGTGTGGTCCATAGCAGAGGATCAGGTGCCTGTGTGTGGAAGCCCAGCTGTGTGGTCCATAGCAGAGG